GGGGGTTCTAAAGTATCATAGTGCTTCGCTTAAGCATTTCTGTAAATGTTTATTTTAACCTTATTATTCTGAAGGTAATCCTCTGATCCCGAGGTGTGCGATAGACTTACCTCTCTACACCCTGGTCAACATATACTCATACGGCAAAAAAGCCTATAAACCGGCAGCTGACTTCTCACTTCCAATTGCTATGACACCACTGTATGTCATATTCCCTACCTTTGTGTCTCTCTCTCTTACATCTATGAATCACTCTTCTGTTCCGCCCAACCACCTCTCGACTCTTTTTTTCACGTTAATGTTCCTCTCCTCTTTGAAGCCCGAAGTCAACTAAAGTGCTAATGATAACTACCAAAACGCCTATCATTCGATATAAATAAATAAATCCTCTGACCTCAATCATATTTCAAAAGCAACTTCTTAATGTTATTCTAGTAGTTGATGTGGTTAGCCATTCTAAAACATTAATACGAAGTTTTTAAGTACATGGCATTTCCTACGCTACTGTTTGGTGTTCATTTTTAAAGTAGATATTGCTAATTATTCAATTAATTCAAAGACAGCATCAAAGATAGGCAGTTGACTTAGAGAACAGACTTGCATTTGAAATACTATCATTTATGTGAAAGCTCACAACCGATGGCATATTTCAAAGCAGTTTTCAATGCTATTTTCTTTTCTACCGGTTCGTATCCGCTAGGAGTGGATTTTATGGGTATTTAGCATTAAGCTAACAAATAGCCCAAAATATAATATATTCATATGCGATTTTAACTTACATGACCATTTCCGGAAAATAATTTTTTCATCCAATAGGAAAAGATTACCCTGTCGGAAATTTAACTTCCTTTTTAATTAGGATCGTGATTGTGAATTAGAGCAACTAGAATAATAAAATCCTTAATTTATTTCTAGTAGTTAAAAGATGTGATAATATCTAAACAAAATGAACATATGTAAGATGATATATCGAAATAACGAGAAAGATTTATGTAACAAGTAAAAAAATTTAGCTTTTACTCAAAGGACAAGATTAATAGCTAATTGAAATCAATAGAGCCGTCATTTCAAAGAACTGTCTTCTGAATCATTTTATTTTAAGCTAATGTGGAAGGCGCACATGTTGTGGAATGCGTAAAGCTTTATGTTGTGAAGAGTGGAAAGCGAAATTGAGAGCATTCATTCAAATCCGATATTATGAATTCTAGATAAACGCTTCAACTACTTACAATGGTGGTCTATAAATCTTTTTGTGTATCAATCTGAAGTTTTAAACCACCAGTTGCCACAAGTGTTAATTTGAAGAAAAGTAATTTGAGATCTTTCATTCAATGATATCATTATTTGACAAAGCAACGTTTTACGTAAGCACATAATAACAGCAATTAAGGTTGGTAAGCAACGGCTGATAGAGCCCAATTAATTTAGGTCAGAAATTGAGTTCCCATTTTGCTTAGTTTCAAGGCAAATTACTTCACATAATCTATTTGCAAACTTAGCTCTAATAATCTTACTAGATGCATGGCTAAATAGATTCCAGAGTTCTTTGAATTTCAACGAATCGTGATATTTTAATATATTATGACGAGATGCCAAGTTTATTTATTGTAAAAATTTGCTGTCACATAATACTATATTATTTTCAAAGTCTTTGGAACTATTCATATTGAATAATTTAGATTTACTTACATTAGATACATTATATGTCATATTTATGGAAATGTATTTTTGTTCTAGTAATGCTTTACCAGTATGTGCTTTAATTGACTCCTTAAAGCTTCGAGTTAGATTCGACTAGATAAATATTGACATTTGGAAAACAAATAAAAAGATTTTAAAATACAAATAAGTTTCTTCCTGGTCTTCCACTAACGTGATTGCTCAATAATCAATCTATTAACTGCCAGATCACTTAACTTATATATGACGAAATTTTGCTAGATGAGCTTTAAGCCATGATTTTTATAATATCTGATCGAATTAAAACATTTGAAGTTCTAATATAAAATGAAATAGTGAAACAATGAGATAAATTCCTTTAGAGATATTATTAGTGTATGCTTATAAGCTTTCCCTGAAAGCACGCGTCATTTTGATTTTTTTGTTCACGTAATGGGTGTTGAGGGTCCTGGAAACGATTTGGGTATTACCCCTGCGAGTAAGTATTATTTTATGTTCAAATGTATACTTTCTTCAAAGCCAAAGTTGGTAACATGCGCGTTGCCCAGAAGCATAGAGATTCAGGTGAGAAGCCGTTATCTCGCGAGGAATTGATGGAGCAGGCTAGGGAATACAATTCAGAGTAAGTGTTTACCTCTCTATGATTATTTGCCTTCCCTAGAATTGTTGCCCAGCCAAAACATGACTTTGAGACTCCAGAAGATTTGCAAATCCACGATAGAACAATTTACCATAGCCAACAAAAACCACAACCAAAAGTTACGAAGCCGACGACGCAAGTTCAACCTCGCATCTGCCAGCCCCGCAATAATTAAACGCGATTTACATTCGCTGGAATAGTCTTTTTAAATGTCCTTTGTTAATTGCATTGTGTTAAAGCTTTTCTCTTTCTTATTCATTGTTTTCGATAATGATCGTAGTTTTATGGTGAAATACAGCTAGAATTGGATAGCTTTAATCGGTTTAAGATAGGCTGGAGTTAATTCTCTTATTTGGGTTTTCTTTGGCTTTACGTAGTACTGTTTGGCTGTTTTCGAGACACTCGTTGGATCAGCTAAATTTCTTTGCTAAGCGATTTTTCCTTAGCTGTTTTCATACTTAGGCAGATCTGATTCCGTTAACTTATGGGAAACATGTATTCTTTTATTTTCGCTCTTCCTTGAAAGTCATTTATTAAGGCTCGTTAATTGCTTAGTTTTTTCGTACTTATTGAAACCTGATTACTTGGATTAAATAGATTAGTTGACAGTTTAGATTCAATAAATAGTTCACGAAATCTACTAGATTTTGCTATCAAGAGGTGGTTGCAAGATAAGCGTATGATTGATTGTGGCGTGAAAATGCGCCAGCCGGTATCGCATTTTGGGGTCCTAAAAGTCACGTGATCGCGCCATTCTGTCAGGCCTTCTTAATGGCCCTATTCGTCGGTTTTTTTTCAAGGTAAACGAGCAGCAATAATCGTCTTGTGAGGTATGCAATCCTAACATAATCTCGAGGGTGGTGTTTTATATGCTGAGGACTTCTCAGTTAATTAACTATTGGTATTCTTTCAAACTCCTTTGAATGTATTCGAATACTGCACATCCTATACATCTGCTTCTTCTATATCATTGCGATAGCTTGGCTTATTTCGGAGCCTAACCACTCTAGGTTATGTTGTCATAGAGATTACTTAGTACAAGTCAGAGCTCATTCGTGTAACAATCCGCCGCAACCTCACTTTTATTTATGTTAGTTCTACTTAAAAATGACCAAATAAATTGGTCAACCAAGAAATGTACGAAAGCTTTTTCAATCCATAAGCGGCTGTAATTGTAACTATCATACCAATGATAAACTATTTTCGTTAGTGTTAGCGTTATTGGCTTAATTATGTTCAAATTAGTGAGGCTCATCGTTCAGAGAGAGGGAGAGAGAGAGCGAAGAGATTTACAACTTATGGCCAACTGCCACAAAACTTAGTCATTAACATATGGTTAGGGCTTCGATACGTTGCGCTGCTACTTTTGCTTGCTGATTGGGTGAGAGGCCGATGCTCTCGCGACCGTACGTGCTCGCTACGCGATTAGCATCACGGTGCACCCTTACTGGGTAGATCGAGAGTGTATAGATTCTTTTGATCGGCCTTGTTTGCGTTGCACGCTCCACAATCTTAATTTATATAATTTTATTCTTGCCTGCACAAGATTTGCCTAATGGTTCCGTCACTGCTTTATATTCCAAAATTCGAAGTTCACTATCAGTTACCTGGACCTGTGAACGATTTCTTGTCCACGATGTCGTGTCCTAATTGCCCAGGTAACTAATTAGGATGGGAATCGTAAACTTTAAGTAGTTTCTTTTTTTAAGAGATCCAGTAACCTGGTGATATTAATTTAGATGATACCAATAGGTTATATATATCCTTTAAGCCAATCGGCATAAATATCTTTGGGCTAATTATTTTTTCATTCAGGATGTGACCACTGTGTTTTTGCCCTTTCTAATAAGAAACAAAAGTGCGTCTAGTGTTTAGGTTACTGAATGCCTCTGGGTTAAACAATTTGTACAATCTTGCATCAATTTATATTTGGTTAAACGAAGACCCACTTTTACCGCATGCTTCATTGTTCCGAACTATGGACCATTTTTCATAAATTCATGTCCATTCCAACGCTTACAGAAAAATGAACGAGTGTTTGAAGTATTACCGAGCCTGCATGTTTCCTCGTATGTTCTTTGCAGTTGTGGAGTACATAATCCCAATACGAATAAGCTTAGTAATCTTCTACGCACTTGAACGCTCAGGGGCTTACAGCCGTGATAGTGATCGCTCTAGGGAACAAATGAAGCTACGAGTACAGCAACCTGCCAGACAATCAACGATCAATAGTCAAGTATGGTAAGTGCACCAAAAGTTCCGTGCCAGTGACAGTGTGCCAATTCTCTACGGTGTGGTGCATATCAATGATGTTTTTGTCCCACCACCACTCCCCCCTCGTCCTATCGGGTGAACATAAGACGCGAAATAGTCTATGGAGCTTTGTAATTTGGTCCCTATCACAACCCCACCATGGTGACGCCTCTTCCCCACAACACACCAGTCCCTAATTAACCTTTTTTCCTCGCTCATTCGATTTCAGTTGCCCAATGTACCCTTGATCACCTTTTCTTCCCATTTCGAAGTACCTGTTTTATCCTCTCAACCTATAGTTCGATGGTAAGCTTTCTAATAGACTGTCTCTAAGCCCAACCAGATTAGGTTCCTTGGAGTAACTTACCTGTTGGATTTTTATGGAAATTTTAGGTGTAGTCATGTTCGATATATTGACTAAGAGGGGTGCGGGATAGACATACCTCCATGTGGTGCACCCTGGACAACGTTTCTTCGTACGTCAAAAAGTCTATCACTCGGCATTTGATTTGACTTTTATTTATTATGATTAGCTCGAAACAAGGCTATAAGAGAAATCGTCCTCGTCAGGGTGAACAAAAAGGCTATAAGAAAAATCGCCCTCGTCAGGGCGATTCCAACGTCTTCAGATCCTCCAGTGGAATGCTGAAGGAATGTCATCTAGAATCCTCCAGTGGAATGCTGGAGGGATGTCACAGGACAAAACCGCCACCCTGGGGGGAAGCTAAAGTCAAGGTTTAAGGGCTAATGATAAATACCATAAAGCCTGCCATTTGAAATAAATAAATATATTGACTACGATAATGTATGATTATTTTCCTTCGATTGCATTCTAATTCACCGCCACTTGTGGGAATTTATTGCTGTCATAAAATAAGGAATACATGAACTTTACCTTATGAGATACAAGTGTGCTCTATTATAAGATCAGTTATGTTAGAGTTATCATATCTATCATCAACAAACGGGGCAATTTTTGAGATGATATGTAGGATCACTCAATTTAAGTGGCTGGCAAAATGATCGAATTCTGTTGACCTGAACTCGGTCAACAATTGTGGGACATTCGAACTTGCGAAATTGTAACAATGAACTATGGCATTTGAAAGGAAACGATTGGCAAATATTTATCTTCTTGACTTCATATTGGGATATCCTTCCAATTCTCATGTTAAGTTATTTAACGAAGATTAAAATTGTTACATATTTCTGCTCTTCCATAAAAAAATAATTATTAAAAAGCTTTTCCCACACCATGGAGTACCCCATGGACAATTAATTAATTAATTAATTTCAAGAAGTTCCGGAATTAATCTCAAAGGCTTATAGTAAGCTTTCATTTAACTATTGCTTTACTGCCTTATAAAAAGCGAAATATTCAACAATACTAGCGATAAATATGACAATAGTCCTACTTTTAGTTTTCTTATAGGCGTTTTTCGAGTAGCTATTCTTAATTTTGCTAAATACTTTTAATTATTGACAATATTTTCCACTGAGTCACTTTAAATCACGACTATAAAATTAAAACGTCCTGAAACCAATGCAATGGAATTAATCTCCTTCGTTTTAACTCGTTACGTTTCGGGAAGATCACAAATTAGACGTTAATTAACGTGTCTCCTCAATCTTTTTTTTGCCACTGTTGATATTTGTTCAAAAATACGGAAATCCTATGCATTTTTCTGTTTTTTTTGTGTTTATTAATAACTTTTTTTCATCCAGCTAAAGAAAGAATTTGTATCCTGTCGTTATAATCATAAAAACTGCTACGAGCTTCGCGCTTAATTGGGATATGAATGTTGGTACTCTTCGCATGTTATTTGTTTTATTTTGGGGCGGGCGGGGGGGAGGGGGGAGGGGGGGGCGGTGAGAGGGAGAGGGAAATTGATACTTCACCCAAAATGTCTACCACTAGAAGAACTATAGGGGGTTTGGATTCTATAATTACATTAAATTATACAAGTTGATCACCCGTGTTAAGCTGAGTCCATTCGAGTACAATTTTTTTATGGTAAGGCTATTTTGCTCAAATCCAATGCCTGAAGAAACGGTGGTAGACCTGCCAGTTTAAGACGCCATATTTACGAGGTAGATAAAATCGCCCGTGAAAGTTGAGGTCTGTTGCGAAGGCGTTTAGGGGGAGGGGGGAGTTATTTTCCAAGGTATGAAAAGTGGAACAGTAATAATTGGCATTCGATTTGGCATTGCAAGTGCACTTCGAGAACGCACCAACAATCGATTAAGCACAAAATTAGTACGCCCTTTACAGCTGCACATCAAGCAAAGAATAATCTTAAAAAGATGAGATTTCTAAGCTTAATATAAGCGTCTTGATGTAGTCCAATTGGGAAAATCAATGTCGTTAGAGCCCCAACAATCCCCCCCTCACCCACCTCCCCCTTCCTCTTCAGTTAAGGTGAATCACGAAGACCCAAACTTGAGGGAATATTTCGGCACTAAATTATTTGCAGTACAGTTCCATTAAATGAAGTGAAAATAATCGTAACTACGCAGAAAAAAAGTATCGTTACATTGCAATGGAATAAATCCGTGGTTTAAATTTGCGTGATCTGATTATTTAATAAATAGCACACATTGATGCTAATTAAAAATGTTCCTTTCCTCTGAACCATTGCCGATTGGGTGTGTGTGTGGTTTTATGATACCTATGTCTCAGAATAGAGTGCAAAGTAGCACCAGATCTTTGAATTATGATATTTTTCGTGCCTGACCGAATTAGGCTTATAAATTCTCTTGCGTCTCTAACAACTTCCCTAAAGGCTTTCAGAATTCATCAGCAATTCTCAAATAATACAGTTAAGATTTAAGTTCAAAGGGTGAGAGAGTGAATGGAAGGGAGTAAGAATGGGAGTGTGAAATTGAAAGGGAAGGCAAAACGCGCCAATATTAAGCAAGCGG